TGGCATGGGTACTTTTCCTCTATGAATTTTTTAGGGTTTTTTAGTTTTTTAGGGTTTTTGATTAATGTGTTATAGTGGAAAGGGTGCAGTATTTGAGTCAGATGACCTGGTGGTGAGTCATTTTTTTAAAAAAAATCATTTAACTAAGTGATTCTGGGCAAATAACTCAAATCTCCCAGACCCCAAGTTTCAGTATCTTCAATACCCTGATAATGCATTTTCCATTCCTTATAGGATTATTATGAGAAAAGCAAAGTACAAAGTGTAAACTCTATATAACAGTAGAAAATGAAAAGATGCTTTGTTCATAAGAACCACAGAATGTGAAAGTTAGAAGGGACCTAAGAGACCGACACATACCTCCAAAGAATCCTCAATAGAATAACATATCCCCTGGGGCAGCTAGGTGGCTCAGTCTATAGAGCTCCTGCCTTGGAGTCAGGAGGACCTGAGTTCAAATGTGGCCTCAGACACATAACACTTACTAGCTGAGTGACTCTGGGCAAGTCATTTAACCCCAATTGCCTCACCCCCCCCAAAAAAAATAAAAATAACATATCCCAATATCCCAAAAATGGTCATCCAGCTCCTGCGTGAAAAACTGTGTAGATGGCAAACCCACCATTTCTCAAGGCAGTTGCTCATTTCACTTTTAGATCTAATATTTCAGACACTTTTTCTTCCCTGATATCAAACCTAAAATTCTATCTCTTCACAGCTGTTATCCATTGCTCCTGCTTCTGTCATCCAGGGACAAACAGGGAAAAAAAATCTAATCTCTACTTCCCAGGATAGCCCATTAAATGCTTGAAACTAACAATCATATTTCCCCGAGTTTTCTTTTCTGTAGGCTAAATACCCTTAGGCTTTTCAAATGATTCCATATCAACTTTCATTAAGAGTATGTGGCATTGTAGAGATGACTTTGGAATCAGAGTCCTTGGATTCCTGTCTCTCTCTGTGTGACTTTGGCCAAGTAATTAACCTCTCTAGATTTCAGTTTTCTCAGCTGTAAAAATGATGGGGTAGGACTAGACTTTTATGGTTTTTTTCCTAGCTCAAAATGTATAATTTTAAGGAACAGAATTCGAGTTTTAGTAGAGAACACGGAGAAGTCTTGGTAACAACTGTATCTCGCTCTTTTTCCATAAAACTACTTAGATGGTCATTGTGTGATTTTTCATCTCATGCCAGTTAGAGCAAGGGCCATCTGGTGTAGAAGAAAAGAAAAACACTAATGGCAGCTTGAATCTGAGACAAGGTCTGGGCTATTATAATGGCTAGGAAAATTACTCAATATTGGGAGACACACATTTCAGTTCAAGGTTTGAGGTGGCTAATGTGTAAGCTTTCTTGTTCTTGTCTAACCTGCTTACTCTCAGCCTATGTTAGCCAATAAACTCACACTTCACAACCATAAGGACTGATGATTTCGTCAATATGGATGCATGTTTCATTAAGTGGTGCAGGAAAAGACTTTGGATTTGGAGTCTGGGTACAAATCCTGACTCTGATAGTTGGTAATTGTGTGACCTGGAGGAGTCATTTAAACCTCCCAGAGACTCACTGTCCTCATTTGCAGAATGAAGAGGCTAGACTAAATGATCTATGAGGTTCCTTTAAGTTCTAAATCTATGACTTTATGATTAGCTATGGGCAAGAAGTGACTGACAAGTTTCTGAGATGACAGTCAAAAAGGAAATTATATCCAAAACATACCTGAAGGCCACTGTAAACAGAACTGAAGGCAGCTACCTTGTTCAGTGGATAGAGAACTAGACCTAGAATCGAGAAGAAGGAATTTAAATTTGGCCTCAGAAACCTACCAGTATGTGACTCCAGGGCAAGTCACTTAACTTCTGTTTGCCTTGGCTTCCCTATAAAATGGGATAATAAGAGCACCTACTTCACAGAGTTTGGTGAGGATCAAAAGAAGTAATATTTGCAAGGCACTTAGTACAGTATCTGGAACATAGCTTGTTTTCTTCCCTTTTGAACAAAAAATTTTAACTAAAGATAAAAACATCAGTATCTTCAGCATGGTATTAGGTTCCACAGTTATCTAAGATTGCAGGGAGGCAAGAAACAAAATAAACTGTTTTCATGTGGCAGAAAAGCCTATGCTTATTGAATCACTGAATATTATACCTGGAAGAGACCTTAGAGGTCATTTAGTACAAAGCTCACCTTTCACAGGTGAGGAATTAAGTCACAGAAAGCTTGAGTTAATTAGTCAATATCAAGCAACTAGTTAAGAGTTCAGGTCTCCAGAAGACCAAACAAGGACTTTATCCACATATTTCACTTTATCTGACACTGATTTTTACCCCAACCATAAGAAAATTAAAGGGTTTCATCTTTTCCTTGGCCTAGTGATTGTGTGTGTGTGTATGTCTCTCTGTGTGTGTATGTCTGTGTATACCTACAGTCATTTGCATGAACCAGAAATAGCTGGGTCTACCATTTCAAATAATTATACTCCTTAATAGTTATCAATTATAAATTGCCTTGATTTTTTGATAGGTTACTTTTCCATATACAGGCTTCTGAATTCTTCTGGGCAGGATGATATAGTTAAAACTGTACCATTTTAGTCATTTGTTTTGTTTGGATGAAAATTTTAACCAGAGGTCTAACAAAAAGAAGAAATGAATTCTATTTGAATGGTTTCTAAAGTGCTCATCTATAAATTTAAAAACCACATCATTCCCTCACAATGCTAAACAAAATGAGAGCAAACAAAGGCATTAAAAAAAAAAACCTGGGCAAAATTGTCTATGCTATTCCAGAAGGACAAAAGCATGAGGAATCCAAATCATTAATCTCCTAACAACGTGGTTATTTCTTATTTGAGTTATTTAGTGACCAGATGTGAAAAAATGGAAAGCATCCTGAATGTAGATCCAAATGCTGGGCCTGATATGTGTAAGGTATGTGGCCACAGGTAAGTTACTTAAACTTTCAAGGTCTTAGTTTTCCCATCTATAAAATTGGGATTATATTATTTTATAGCAATGAGAATTTCATTAATACCTGTCTCAAAGAACACTGTGGGAAAATTTATTTATAAACTTTAATGTGCCAGTTAAATATACATTTATTATCATCATGGAAGATCTGACTTGTATGAGAAAAAATATCTAGTCAAAGATTTTTAGGACCTATGTACCTTATCACCATGCATATATTTGTTCTAGTTCTTGGATGAATTTTTTGTTTTTTCTAGTTTGTTTTCCAAGATTCACTTGAATCCTATGTATTAAACTTTCATAGACTCCTGTCTTTCTGAATATATTATTTTTTTCTTTTTAATTTATCATTTTCTTTCTCAGTCATAGTTGTAGAAATTAAGAGCTTGACTTTATGTAAGCAAATTACTTTATGCAGCTCAAACTAACCTTATTAAAAACAAGATAATTAAGGGGAAGCTAGGAGGCACAGTGGATAGACACTGGCCCTGAAGTCAGAAGGACCTGAGTTCAAATCTGGCCTCAGAAGAAACACTTGACACTCACTAGCTGTGTGACCTTGGGCAAGTCACTTAACTCTAATTGCCTTAAAAAAAATCAGATAATTAGAATCAAGATATATGAGCTCTGGTTCTCCCCCCCAAAAAAATCACTTGACTTTGTAACATTAATGGTTATGAAACAAATATTCAAGAATTCCTATATTTAAGTCCTCCTCTTCTTCCCCTACTTCTACTTATTCCAGTGTCACACAATAGCAAAGAGCTGACTCCAGATTCCGAAAGGATAAACCTGAGGAAATTCTAGCTCTAATGCCTGCTACCTTTGGACCTAAGACAAATCACCACACCTATTTCTTCATCTCTAAAACTGAGATACTAACATTGCTTTTGTCTACCTTCAAAGGCTGTTGTGGGGATGAAAGGAAAATAGATATAAAATGCTTTATTAATCTTAAAGTGCTTTTTAAACAAGACATTTTATGATTATTATGAAGCAGTTGGAGGACTTTGAGCATATGCCTGGTGATATATATTACATGTATATCTATCAGCCAGGTATTCCCTCAACTCATCATCAGATGGCTGCCCTTAAGCTGATTATTAATAGCCATCATTATAACTGTTATTGATGCTGGTGTTATTATTATTGGCTCTGGCAACTCATGTAGTCTATATACTAAGATAGAGAAGCTATTGTCCACAGCTGGATATGTATACCCCAAAAGTATTGATGCAGATAGTGCTAGTGCTAATTGTAATAGAATTGCATATTCATCTTCCTTGCACTTGAACTGGAAAGTGAAGAAGAGCAAGTGAAGAGTTAAGTTAGCCCTTAAAGTAACAAACTTGGCAAATTGATGTCAGTCTCAGCTTCCCAGTTTGGATTATTTTTTGGGGGGGTAGCCTCCCTACCCTGAAGGAATTTATTAGAAACAAAATTATGAGGAAAGGAGGAACAGACTTCTTCTTCTTTTATTTTTTTTGGTTAGGCAGTGGGGTTAAGTGACTTGCCCAGGGTCACACTGCTAGTAAGTGTTATGTGTCTGAGTCCAGATTTGAACTCAGGTCCTCCTGAATCCAGGGCTGGTACTCTATTTACTGTGCCACCTAGCTGCAGACTTCTTAAAAGGCAGAGTGGAAGACTCCTAAAAAAAGTATGGGATAGCCATCATCCTTGACTTTTTTCCTAGAAATTCATATTCAGCTGAACATTTGTGCAAATGCTCTCCAGCAGCCCTTAATCTGGATGGGAACCTGCCAGAGGAAGAAGTCTCCATGTGGCAGTGTGGTACAGTGGAAGGAGCACTCTACTATCTAGGAGTCAGGAAGCCCTGGCTGTAGAACAAGTTCTGCAACAGTTATTGAAACCTCAATAGTTGTGCAACCTTGTTCAAGTCACATTGACACTCTGGAATTCTGTTTCCTATCTGTAAAATATAAAATTGAAGTTGGATGATTTCAAAATTCTCTTCTGGTTCTACTATTCTAAGAACTTGGTTTTTTTTTTGTAATTTACAAGTAATAATGATAATAGCTAGCATTTATGTAGCACTTTAAGGTATCCAAAGTGTTTTAGTTATGTTATTTCAATAGAATACAGAAATAAAGAAGACACCCTTTCAACAATTCATGCTCAGGGATAGGAATATATGTCAAAGAATTTAGTAGGAGTAAGAGAAGAATAAAATTCTTATTTTGGTGACATAGCATATCTTATTTTTCTATGATTAAACAGGAAATGTCAGGTTTTTGTCTTAAAATAAGACTCCTAAACTTGTTCACACATACATGTACATACACATACACACATATGTATTTATCAGCATCATTACTTTGTTCTTTTTCTCCTCCTACAGTGACATAGGATCTCACTCTTTTAAGATTGGTTGTTCATATAGTGATAACAGTAAGAAATCATTTCTTCTTTCCTCTGCACCCTTTACTTGTCATTCTTATGTTCAAGAGAAGCTGATGACAGCTGACAGCCTTTTTTTCCTCCCTTTCATATTCAAGATCACAAATCCTGGTCAATGAAAACAAATTTCAAATTCTTCCAAGTAGCAGAAATATTTCTGGCTACTACTTAACAATTTTACATATGCCTAACCATAACAAATGAGTTAGATAAAATCTTACTTTGGGGTAAATTGTTTCAAGCCCAGCCCAGTGACTGCTCAACCTAGTAAAAAAAAAAATAATTTTTACTTAGTTTGACTTTTTGTTGAGCAAGTTTTCAGAAAGGAAGTGGAAAACCACCTCCTGTTCACCCTTTCTATAATCAAAGAAAAACAACACTCAAGTTAAGTTGAGCTGGAATGCAACATATCAACAGCTTTATCACGCTGGAGGCACATTTTGACATAATAACAAATGACTGAGAAAAAGCCACTTTTATCTAGGTCACAAGTGTTGCAAGGCTTGGGGGAAACCACAGATTTAAACGTTAGGAAAGGGGCTGCAATCTGTACAGAGATTCTCATCAAGTCTTGACATTACCTAATGGTTTTCATCCAGTACACTGCAATTACTCCACCAGCATATTATAATAGCACAACATTCTGACTTCAAATCCTACAAAAATAAAATGAACCATATTTCATGATGACTACATTTGTAATAAAATGCAGATGGCAAAGGAAACAGATGTCTCTGACATCATCTCCAATTTGATTCGCACAGCTGCAGACATTTACAGTATGTACACATGTTCAAAAGAATGCTGAGCAAGATAAGTTAGGCAGTTTTAAAATGGTGTTTCCATTAGAAAGACACACTGGCAAAATATCACTGTGTAGTTAAAGGAAAAAATACAATTATTATAGATGAAAGAAATTTCTCAAGTATTCTATTAACCCACAAAAATTTGATTCTAAATCTAAATTGGACTCGTGCAAAAGTGACCATTGAAGGAGACAAGGGTAGTATTTCAAACAGATAGTGCTAATCATCTGGACCTGTGGGATCAGAGAAAAGCAGGGATGGAAGGATATAATAAAGAATGTTTGTGACTTTCAGGAGGCAAAGAAAATAAGGGCATTGTGACTCAATACCAATTCTAAAATGTAACAATCAGAAGGTCATAGCCATCTTATCTATTGTTCAAAAGCTAACAATTCCTTATTATTTTTGAGATAAAGTCTAAGGGGACATTTCTTGTGACTACTTTCCCATCTTTCCAAAACACATTAGTTTATACCTCTATACCACTTGCAAAAAGCATCCAGTCATATTTGATAGAAGCTTTCACTACCTCCCCACTCATTAAATCTTAAGAGGGAGTAAAAGAATAAGCTCTATTGTGTATGATAAATACATTACAGGGCCTTTTGAAAGAAGGTGAGGATATTTTTTTTTCTAGCCCATCTTGAAAGTAAGTAAAGTTTGGGTAAAGCAGCAACTCCAAGGATTCTAGGAGTTTCTGAGGTCCAGGGATAAAGGAACTGTTTTAGAACTGAAGAAAGTCTTTTGAATCCTCCAATTTTCCTTTTCCTTTGAGTCCCCACCCCACCCTCAACCCAATTACCCCTTCAAAACAAAACAAATTAAAAAAAAATTTAGCTGGTCAAGTTTCTGACAGAAAGGCAGCAAAAGTTGTTTTAAAGTAAAAATAAATCCTGTGAGGCCAAATATGGTGTATGTTTTTAAAATAATCTCTCTGTGCAAGTAGCAGACTATATACACACACATTTACAAGAATAAACAAACTCTTCTAATTCTTATCCACAAATTGTGTTGGAAATCATTAGTGCAAATGACTGCCGACCTGCAGCATTCAGTCCGTAAACTTTGGATATCCTAGAAGATCCATTATTGTCCAGCAGATGTCCTCAATCAGTTTAATTTCTCCAGTAGGCATGTTTTGTTTCCAAATATTAATATTAGTTGGTGATATTTCTCCTTCATAAGGAAGATAGAAAAGGTTTGTGGAAGTAGCAAACAATATTTGGTTTAAACTAGCAGGAGATAAAGGAATACCAAGAAAGGCAAAAATCCTTTCGCTTGTCTTCTGTGGAAAATTCACAATATCTTCAAACCTGATCAACTGATAGTTGGTTGGCAGCAAATCCTTATTGATTCTCAGTGCTGCTGCTGTGTTTGCTAGCCACAAATGGGCCAGTAAGGACACTGGACTTGATTCGGGATCTGATAGCTCTTTCCTCAATGATTCATATTCAAAAGCATAGCCTGAATTCAAGTTGCATTTCTCTTTGTGTCTTTGTACCTTAAACAACATAGCCAGGTGCTCAGGTACATTCTTTAAGGAATAAAGGCTTGGTTTGCTATTGTACAGCATTGAGTGAATCCATGCCCGAGGGTCCCTTACAATATACAATGCCCTCATGGAAGGCCCTATAACTTCTTGAAAGAAATGAAGCTTTAATGTCCAGCTTCCACTGCTTAAACTGAGTACAGGACGTGCACTTGGGTAAAAGACAAGGTGTCTCCTTAGGTCTCTAATGTATTCAGCATCTCTCTCTAAAGTGCCTTTGATTCTATTTCTTTGTTCCAGCAAAGACTCTCTCCTTTTTAATTTTCTTTTTTTGTCTTTGTTAACTGTGGAGTATTGAGTGAGTTTACCTCTACCGGGTTCATGCAGATGAATATTTTGTAAATGAAGTTTTGTGTCCTGGATTAAAGATTGAAGCCAGCCTCTGAGCAAACGGAAATGACCACCCTGGATATCTGACACCTTCCATTCACAGGCATCTACAAATGAGTCTATTTCAAATTCAGTTTCAGGGATATCAAGGTAGGTTGTAGGGACCCTAATGTACAGAAAGTCAGTGCTGTTGAAAAAGAGCTGTTTTAGGATTTCAGCTCCTGAACTGGGGAGTGAGGTAATGACAACATCTGGCAGAGCAATGGGGTGTCCTTCAGAGTGCTTGGCTCTTTTGCTTGTCTTGGCCTCTGTGCTCATCATGTCACTGCTCCATTTGGCACAGATAGGCTGTGTACAAGTACTCCATACATCCAACAGTTCAATGAACCACAATGTTATAACCATGATTAGTATCCAACGCATTAGTTTACTAAACGAAAGGTAAAATCTCCATTGAAAAGCTAAAATTATCAAACTCACACCTAAAATCAACCCCACTATCATATTGATTTTAAAACCAAAGGGGAAAGCAACACTATTATTCCTTACTGGTATCTCTCTAGTTTCAGTGCCTAAACCAAAATGGATAATTTGGTCTCTATCTGCTACATTGGCAAAACCACCAAATCCCAGATAATTGAACCGGGTCTTGAGATTTCGGTAATCTGTTACGATGGAAACAACATGGTCACTGTTGTTGACATTTAGTGAAATCTGAAGTCCAGATTTAGAATTATCAATAAATTTACAGTTGGAAACATTGACATAGGGTCCATGAAACACATAAGCAATTCGGCTTACAGTGGTATCCATCTGAAATGTCACATTCACATACTGAGTCCACCGTTTCTTGAACTCAGCAGCTTGTTCAGCTTCCTGTATTGTCGCTATGGGGCTATTGCCATGATCATCAAGCCAAAACATTTTATAATGGGCATCCCAGACATCCATCATGGCTCCATTATACTGGTTCATAAACTTGTATGGGACATATTTAAAATCAATATCCAGATTATGAAAAAAGGCACTGATGGAATTAATTGGAGAATCCTCTTCCTTCTCAATGTGATCCACAACGAGCAAGGTTTGGGAATTTAAGAGAAGCAAAGCACGATACACACTTTTCAGTTTCATTACAGAAGAATAAGCAGTCACAGCTTCCCCACTCACAAACATCATTTCCCCTTGCTGGGAGGCTGTTATAATTTCTCCAGCAGCATCCCCAACTTCTTCACCTGCCCACCTGAGCCACTGGGCACATTCCCCAAGCTGTCCCTCCCAAGGTTGATTGCACTGGCTTGAGGGTGATGGGGCAAACACAAGAACATTATTGAGGTGGCTTAATTTGGGCCCATAGAGGGCCTCAGACACAAACACCTGCCCATTTGGTGCAAAAGTAAAAGAGTTTTGGTCAGGGTGTTCATGACCTGGGTTGAAGCTTCGCCAGCCATCAATCCAGGAATATGGCTGAAAGTGAACTATGTCATACACTGCTCGGCCACCCAATTTCCCAGATTTAAAAGATACAAAAGTATTGGTTTGTGTGTTTGGCAGGCCAGCCCCATAAGTGACAACCCCCCAGTTAGGGAATACATGCAATTTAGGAGTACCATAGTCAGCAGGAGGTTGTGGAGTGAGCTCTGGATCATACCAGATATATTCAGTGTGAAGAGTACTCCACCGCTGGGCAGTGGAAGGAACCATTGGACCATCCTTAGGGCGGTGCTTTCTAATTTGCTGAGCTAACCAATTGCCAGCTCCATTCTTTAACACAAACTTATCCAAGAATACTAGCTGGCTTTCTGGCCCATAAAACCAGTTGTAGTTGGAATCTGCTATACCCACTGTTCTCTGAAAACCTGGTAAAAGTGTAGCAAAATAAAACCAAAAGTGCATTTTTAACCAGTTGTTCTCAAGATTATTGATATTAAAGTGACGCTGGGCCAGGAAAACATACTGTGTAACAGACTTGGCAGTATAACTTCCATAGGCTACACCTTCATCCAAAGAGCCATCCACAATATGATTGAGCAGAAACATAGTCTTTTCCATCACATCCACTACCACCTGTTTCCATATATTTGCTTGAGATCCTTTATCCACTCCAGTCACCAGGGCACCAGTGAGTAGAGCTAGCATATTTGTGGCTTGATGGTTGTGGAGAAGTTGTTTTCCCCATGCACGAACTTTAGAGTACTCATACATTTCCTCAGTGACAGCCCATATCTTGTCCAGGTACTTTTGTCTCCTGTGATTATCAATTAAGTTGTATAAGAAGTCAAAGGCAGTGGCAAAACCTGTTAAGGAGTGGCCAAGTGGCACCTCATCCCCTGGAGCATTCTCAACTAGCCAGTCTTTGTAGCCAGCCATTCTATCCATGTATTCTAAAACAAATTCAAAGGCAGCTTTGTCATCTGGGCACAACAAACAATAAAATGCTAGTGGAGGGAGATTATTACCATAAATTTCATTCCACTTTGCAGCAAAATCAGCATGCTTGGGTGGAGGTAGGTAGTATGTTGGGTTGGACAGCATCACTGTAACTGCACTTCTGATAACTCTAAAAAGATGCAAATGGCTTGTTCGAGACTTTTGTCTCAGTGCTTGGATGTCTCTAGCATCAAAATATAAACTTGGACGGAAACTCCCTTTTTTCAGTTTTTGGTTATTGAAATCTTGAACTTGCTGTGTCTTATATTGATCAATATCATCTGCAAAACCAGCCCATTCAGAATAATTGCTTATAGATTCTTCAAAGCTGTAGTGAACGAACATCACTAACACTAACAGAAATAAGAAATGTCTTGTAAACATTAGCGCCATGATCCATTAGGCAGTTCCTTTCCTTCAGGCATACATGTCAAGCATATTGCTCGTTACATTAACTCATCTACTGACTATAAAAATGTACATTTAAGGCCTTGATTAAAAAAAATGTAAATCTTCTACTGTGAGATTCAATTGATGCACAACTCATTCAAAATAAGTGAAGTCAGGAGAAGTGAGAACTTGCATCCTCTATCTGTGTGCCTGACAGTTATAGTACCACTAAAACTCAAGGAACCTTAAAGCCAGTAAATCTTGCCACAACATATGTAAAGAATTAATTATTTCCTCTATACCACAAGACTTGAGTTTATATCACTAGCTGAAAGCACATACTTTTTAAAAAAGAAAATAATAAAAGTGTTCCAAAATACAATTTTGAAGTCATTATTACACTAATGATGCTCATTTGATTTTTTTTCCTTTTTCACAGATTCAAGTAAAATACTGAATTTCCTACAGTGAACTTGGTGGTTGGAATTACTGCTCTTTTCTTTCCTGATTTTATAGCCTTCATGCTTTGAAATCTATCTTCTCCCACTTTTAGAGAAACAAGCAGCACTGAACAATTTTCACAAGTCCTTCTTAGTTGTCATAACTGCAGGTTTTCTAGCCTCTGTTGACTGCTGTATGAAGGTTTGTTGTTGTCAATATATTATAACAAAAATCTATTTTTCATGTCTTCTTTTATTAAAGTTATCTGTATCAGTATGTTACAACCCATGAAACCTAACATTTTTTTTTCTCTTCAGTCACCTGAGAATCTCTCCTCTGCCCATCATGAAGCCAACCAGCCAAATGAGAGAGAAAAAATCTCTTTCAACAAGGTAGCTATTTTTCTTTTTTTTCTTTTCTCTTCCTTGCGCATGGCAATCCTTTCTGGGGGAAGAAACAAAACAAAATGTTTTCTGAAGCTACAGATACATTTGAAATATATTTAATTCTATGTTGAAAAAATTACAATTTTCCTTTTCACTGAATTTTTTGCAGGGAATAGCTTCAGAGAAATTTAAGAATAATTTCAGTATGTCTGCTTTAAAATGTTGTTGCTGGAATCCCACCCCAATTTTTTACATTGTAATTCATCCACCTATAACAATCCTCACTCCCACCCCCCATACACAATAAGTGTGAAATAAAAGTTGGTGAAAACCAAATGACAAGCTATAAAATTGTCTTATCCAGATTCATATTGTAGCTGGCTTGCGCTGGTTGACAATATAACTTAGGAAGTCTCCATCTAAAAGTATATGAAATTACTGAAGTGCAGTAATTGGTGTGCTATCTTCCCTACGTCATTTTTCTTTCTTATTTCCTCAGGGGCATAAAATTCCTAGCACAATGCTTATATGGATTAATTTCTCAGTAGTAGATGTTTACTGAATGTATCAAATTGAGTGGTAAGTAAAATAAAAGTTCAGGTAATTAAATATTAGCTAATTTACAGTAGTGCTGTTCTTTGGCCCCAAACAACTCCAAAGCTTTCCTTTTACTTAATAAACACTACCATACAACTATTTTTTTTTCCTCAAAAGAAACAATGCTTTGAGAAGTCAGAGGCAGAGGAACATTTCAGTCCCCTCACCTGTAGGCTTACCATGTATACTTCTGGACTACCACGAGAGGGTACTATAAACCAGTGTGATAGAGAAGTATCTCCCTTTGCCTTTCTTGGGGGCTGGAGAACTTAACCAAGTTTCAGTCACCAAGAAGTCTCTACACTGCAAAAGTCATTTATACGAGGAGCTCCCTGAACCATCCCGCCTGTTACATTTAAAATTCTTCCCTGGAAAAAATAAGCCTTTTTGTTATCTTTTCCAGGTATGGGAGTGGAGGTAGGGAGAGAGATCCTTCCACAAAATCATCTTACCTTAGGCAGGTCTGGATGGGAGTGTCCCAGGGAGCACTGAGGTCCTCGGGGTTGGGGGAAGGGAAGTCAAAACAAACTCATTCCAGAGGATCTGAAGGGCACCATCAATTTCCTTTCCTGGACATCGCAAGCATCCCAGACTGTCTCCAGGGCGCCGGAGTGACCGGCCCAGCCTTCGGCGCCACAAATGTGAAGAGGGTTCGGGAGACTGGGACCGGGACTCTTCGCTAGCCTTTTTTCCAATCTTCGGGGTTTCGTTTCTGTCCCATACGTCATGCTATCCCTCCCCCCTTAGCCCATACGGATCCAGTTACCCCCCTCTGCTAAAACTGCTTCCAGAGAGAGGGGTGGGAAGACAGAAAGAAAGCCACAATAGCTAAAGGAACTCCCCAAATGGAGACCCTTACAAGACTCACACTCCACTTTGGAAAAATCCAACAAATCCCTTGTGCTCTGCTCCGGTATTTGGAGGAGGCAGATCCTGGGAGATGCCCTCTGGCTGCCGCCGCCTCCGTCGCTTGGCAGCTTCTTCTGACTCTTTTGCCTCTAGATCACGGTTTCCAGCACAGGGAGTCGGGTTTTTCCCAAAGGCGAGCGCTGCCCTCCAAGCTGTTTGCCTCTGCCACTACCTCCTCTACGTCTCAGCTTGTGGCTCACTCGGCCGAGCTGGAGTTAAAAGAGCGAGAGAAACGCTGGGAGTGAAGGCTAGAGGGACGGGAGAAGGGGCGAGGGAGACCGAAGAGAAAGCAGCAGCATTGCCAAGGCGGACCTAGGGGCGGGGCCGGCTAGGCAGCTCCCCGGGATCCTAATGCTCCGAGGCTTCTCTCGGGTCCAGCTGTTTCCCAGCTGCTGCTCTTCTTACAGGACGTTTTCCCGCGGGGAATCGCAGGCTGCCACCGCAGCAGCAGCTCTTCTGGGAGGAGTGATAAAGGAGGAGGGAAGTTTGGCTGGGAGAGAATGTTTGGGGACTGTCATTGTCCTGAAAGGCGGTCGGGGGAAGGCGACCAGGGGTTACAGCTACTGAAAATCTCCTGCATTCCTAAGTTCGTCCTGACCGAATTTTGTCCTTATAGTATGAAGAAAAAGCATCATTTATAAAAGGGGAGGGGTTGAGGAAGGGAGAAGGGTGTAGCGGGGTGGGGTGGGCAATTATAAACTAGGAAAGGGAAAAAAAAACAACAGGAAAAACTGACGTTATGAGAGAGAAAGACGAGAGCTTTGTACATTTGGGAAGGGTAGGGATTGTAGGGTGATGGTTAAAAGGAAGTAGAAATTCTTTAGCAAGGTTAGACATAGGGACCTATTTTGCAGGAAATAGTGCCTGAGGTCCTCTTGTTAGCGGCAAGAGGTAGTTTGCTCCCCCTCCCCCGCCCCAGCTAGTTGCTTAGAACGGCAAATTAAGGATATTCAAATTTTTTTTTTTAAATTTCTTTCCCTCAAGAATCACAGATCTAAAGGCGGGGAAGGGGAGAGGGGGGAGGGGAAAAATTCACCAGATAAGCAATGAAAAATATTTTCCAAGCTGGGATAAACTATGAAAATATGGAATGAATACAGCTTCACAATATACCCCCCCAAAAAAAAAGATCCCTTTTGGAACAAAAAAAAAGATTTCAAATTTGGAAGAAAAAATAATTTGCTTCAGTTGCTGAGGCTTATACATCAAAATGAGGAAGACAATGGTGGGGGAGCAAACTATGACACGGCTTCTATTAAAGTTGTGTAGAACAAATAAGGAAAGCTCTAAGGCAACTGAGGAGCCTGGTGCACTCCTCATCCCTTAAATTTCTTGGAATATTATATCATTCACAACATGAGCTGATAAGGATGAGCTCCCTATTAAGTAGATTAAAGGTCACTGTCTTAACTGGTAATTTATTCAATAATGAATTTATTGAGTAATGATAGAACAGTGACACTAAAGCATATGGCTTCACTAAACCATGTCCCTTAAAAGATAAGTATTTTGTGGTTTCACCTTATCTAAAGGTAAATGTCTTTTTTAGCATTCAAGTTGCAATAACATACAGATATTCCTTAAGAATTGCTTGAAATAGCCTCCTAACTGCTCTTCTTACTACAATCCATCCTTCATGGGTGAGCCAAGGTGATCATCCTAAAATATGTCATTCAATCATTGGGCAAACATTCATTAAGACATCTTATGTGCAATGTACTGCTTTGATCGTGTTAAAGTCTCCAGTAGTTCCCCAGTGCTTATAAAATAAAGTTCAGGCAACATATTTTGCTATTCTAGTCCCTCTACAATACATGTCCTTCTATCCTTATCTCTTATTAATTCCCTGTACAAATTTCCCACTCTGATTGAATCTAATCTACTCATTGTCTTCCTGAGCACATTTTAAGCTTTTCTATCTCTCTGCCTGCATGTGCATTTTCCTTCACCTGGATCACAGGATTCAAGACTGGAAGGAATCTTAAAGACAATTCTAGTCCAAGCCTATCCTTTTGTAGGTGAAGTATATTTAGGCAGGAGTTCTGAAAAAAAGAAAAAAGTCTGTGGGTTTTAGAGGACTACAAAATCAATATGAGCAGTGTGATGTGGCAGCCCAGAAAGCTAATGTGGTCTTGGGCTATATTAAGCAGGACATAGCTTCTGGAAACAAGGGGGTGATAATCCCACTGTCTTCTTTCAGACCTAATCTAGAGTTTTATGCTCAGTTCTGGGTAACACAATTTAGGAAGGGTATGTTAATTGGAAAGTGTCATACCCAGTATGGAAAAGAGACTTGCATCCTTGTCATATGAGAAATAGTGAAATGAAAATTTTTAGCCTAGAGAAGAATTGGGGAGGGGCAGGAACAAGATGATAGATTTATGTTCAGATATTTGAAGGGTTATCATGTGGGAAATGGATTAGATTTATTCTGTCTGACTTCAAGTTAGGTGAAGTTAACAAGTTTTTAAGCACCTACTATGTTCCAGGCACTATAGCACTGGAACAAAAGAAAGAGAGAGAAAAAAAATTTAAAAAGCAATCCTTGCTTTCAAGAAGCTCACACTCTTCTTTTAACTCTCAACAGTTTGGCTTCTGACCTCATCGTTCAACTAAAACTGTTCTTTCCAAAACAGTCGATAATTTTTAAATGCACAATTGGCCTATGTTCCGTCTTCATTCTTCTCTCTTCAGCCTTTGACATGTTTAATAGTCCTGTTCTCTTTGGTTCTCTCTTATCTCTATTTTTTTTAAACCATTACTGGTCCTTGTCCTACCTATCTGACCACTAACCTCTCAAACTCCTTTTTCTGGATCTTTATTCAGGTCATACCTGCTAACTTTCTGTGTCCCATAGGGACATGTGTCCTTGGTCTTCTCATCTCCTTCATACTGTTTCACCTGGTGATTTAATTAGTTTCTATGTATTTAATTATCATTTCTGTAGATTATTCTCAGATGCATTTATTCAGTCCTAACCTGACAAGGGAGAGCTGTGAAACTTTTGAGTAGAAATTAAAAAAAAAAAAAGATTGTAAAAGCTTCTGTAATGACTAGGTTGTAAATCTATAATTAGGTGTAAAACAATTGTCTTGCTGCAGTGAGCGCCCAGTTGAGATTTTTTGTAGTGGGCCTAGGAAAATTAGTAGGCTGAATTTTTTTGGTCCAGACAGCTCTGAATAGCCATTGTTTTATGAGAAATATCAACATTATGACATCATCTTAAATTTCTAGATGAAAGGCTTGGAGAAATTGGTATACAATGAGTCAATGGTGAACATACAGCTAAATAAGTCTCATTATTCTCCAATTGGTTTTCAAGACAATGGACTTTGAACAAGCATCTGTGCAAGGTTGAGGAGTAAGCAAGTTGACGTGTGTGAAGCCACAGCTTAGAAAATCAACCACTGACAGAAAGCAAAGAAGTTATATTGAAATATGTAGAAATGAAGAATTTATTCTTTCATGTACTCTTCTCAAAGTGTACAGCTCCAATTATTCCTGCTCTCACCTAGGAAAAAACCTATATAGTTAGTTAACTATAAATTATTCATCCAACCTTAAAAGTGATGATCTGCATGCCAAGTTAATGGGCATGAAAAACCTTTATGAGAGGTAGCTAGAGACACATAACAGCAACTGGTATCTACAGAAATCTAGAGGTACGAGGCTATTTTGATGTAAGGTGCACTACCAATATAATCTATGACTGACAATTTCACTATATATATAAACACACCTTAAATCTGTATAGTGCTTTTCTTTCTATGAATTTAAAGTGCTTTGCAAAGACTCATTCATCTATCTTCATAGTATCTTCTAACATGGGAGAGAAACAAGCATTATCCTGTTTTATTGCTGAAGAAACCAAGTTATGAAGAAGTAAGGCAATTTGCTAAAGGTCACAGTGCTACAACTCCCCTGAACAGAGACTGAAAGAAACTCTTTTATTTTAACCATGCCACAGAGAACATGTTACCAGCCATTCTGCAGGTGGAGATATATCTAGGTGAAAAGTTAATCCCAGTGACATCCAGGGCTGGGATGTGTGCCAAAAAAAATTTAAGGGAGTTTCTGCAACAAGTTTGTGTCTTAAATTAAGTAAATTTGAATTTTGAGCCTTGTAGCATAAGGTAAACACCACAGCACTTTACACCAAGATAAAATATAGGCAATAAAACATGCCCTGACACTACATAAAGTCACTGGACTGAGATCTTATTTGCCTGTGATGTATTATTATGGTGGATTCTTACTGAATTTGGCAACTTTGCAAATGCTGGGCCAGTGAGCAGTCATTCTGAGGTGAGCACCTACCCCAACAGGACAGCATTCTTACTGCTTCTAAATCTGGGGATATTTGTTGCTGTTCAATTATTTTCAGTCATGTCCAACTCTTTTGTGGCCCTGTTGGGGGTTTTCTTGACAAAGTTAACGGAGTGGTTTGCCATTTCTTTCTCCAGCTCATTTTACAGGTGAAGAAACTGAGATAAGCAGGGCTAAGTGACTTCCCAGGGTGTCACAGCCAGTGTCTGAGGCCAGATTTGAATTCAGGAAGACTCATCTTCCTGACTTTAGGCCTGACATTCTATCCTCTGTGTCACCTAGCTGCCTCTAAATTTGGGAATAGGTT